GTTTAAGAATCGCAATCACCCACAGAGATAGTTGAAGGCTTGTAAATAGTTGCTGTCTCATTTATGAATGCAAACAGACTGCAATCAGTCTAAACGCGGCATTGTCAATGAACACAGACTCAGCTGGTTGTATTCTAGTTATATTCTTATAGACCAAGAAAGCTGCTGAGCTCAAAAGTAAAAGATCAATGTAATATTCTCTTAAACATCTCATGAGTTGTTACAATGTTATTTGCAATAAGTGTGCATCATGGGGTGCCTGGTGATTCCCACCTCTAGGACTTAGCTTCCAGGTTGGAAAAACGTGGAAGTCGAAGTGCTTTAAACCTACAGTCTATATAAGGTCACCAGATGGTGAGAGTTGTAGGTGCAAAAAAACGTCTGGTCCTCTGAGAAAACAATTTACTGACGTCTCCTCTGTAAACACTGTCCTGCTGAGTTTATGGGCTCAGTCACTCATTGTGGGTGATACGACTCCAAAATGTATCGTGTGTCAAAATGGAAGATTTTTTGTGGCTAAGGAGTTACAAATCACAAGTCATTGGCCCAATTAGCACACTGTTTCATAGTCAGTGGAAACGCTCATCTCGAAGCTTTAAAAACATTCTGTCTCCATGTTGATGATTATTTATCCTACATTCCTTATACATAAAAGTTACTATATGAGGAAAATGATCAGGGTGCTATTTCCAGTCAACCACCAGCAACTTATGTTTCCAACAGTTCGTGTAAAAGATAAGGTGTTAATGGCGTAAATATTTATACACAAAAACCGAGAATCCTGATTCAGACCTTCAGAGATTTTCTGCAGCCTTGAAAGCATCTGGGCCAGTTTCTGCTGCCGCTCAGCGAGCTCCCCTCTGCCAGAGAAGTCCACTCTGAACAGAGCCATGATGGAGTCGATAATCTACCAATGACGAGCACACAAGCAGAGTGAAAGGCCAGAGAAACAGGGAAACCTGGTTTCTAGGTGTTGTTCTCCACCTTGATTAGATTTACAGAGTTGATGACTAAAACCAATATCAAAAGAAAAGTTCTCTTGCTTACCAACAGCTTGAACACGCCTCCTTCTTCATGAAATTTGGCTGCTACAAAGTCCAACAGCTCCATCTGGTGTTCACCTGCAGAGTTTTCAGTTCTTTATAAAATGCTCTAAAAAAGTCAGTCTAAATCAACTGTAACGGATGTTCGTACTCGTGTAGGCTCGGGCGTAAAGCACGTTGTCCAGCACGGCATCGTGGTCCACGTTAAACCTGTCAGCGATGTCTCTCAGTCTGTCCGGGCGACTCAAATCAGACAAGTACAAGTCAAGGAAAATAGGAGGCAGATTACCATCGGCGTTACATGGCAGCGTTTCAGCCGACGATATATATATTTGTGCCGTGCTCATTCCAAGGATACAAGGTGTTCTCCGTGTCAATGAAGATTACTTTTCCGCCCGAGTATCCGTCCTCGCCCGGCAACTGAGCAGCGACTGAACAAGAAAGAACGCGTTTTAAACTACTCTGTATCAGGAAGCTAAAAACCAACAAAAAAGGTTCTTTACTCACCACAGAGCGTGTGAGACAGCTGGGTTTTTCCTGTGCGAAACTCTGGAAGAAGACATACTGAGAGTAAATTCATGAATTTGAAATGTATTCATGAATTTAGATGGGAAAACATCAGAGAGGAACGCATTACAGGGGGGTGTCTGCTCACCTCCAAAGGCCTCTGTGATCGCCATGCTCTCTACACCTCCACCCAGCAATTTACTGCAGAGACACAATTCACATACATGTAAAATCATACAAAATCCCATCGGTTTAATCAATACTAACGCTGCTGTTGATAAATCTCAAAAACCTCCTATATCCTCCATGTTACTGCCAATTTATCTATTAATATGCTAAAGCTATGAAGCAAAGAAGAAAGTCTAGTGTGATTACTGTGTGCACAAAGTTCAGTGAAAAATAACCCTGAGATTCACAACTGTGTGTATTTTATTGAACTACAAGCATCCTGAGTCAGCAGACGACCGCTCGCTACCTGTTATCTGCATGAACTGCGGGGAAGTTGAAAAAAACAAACGAACAAAACTGGATAATTTATGACTGAAGGAACTGAAACAGTGCCTGAGGAGGAAGCCAGAAAGTGCACAGCTTTTAAAAAGAGTCAGCTGGGAAGGGACGATGGTTAATAAGAAAAGGAAGGTTTCGGGTTAAACAAATAAACAAAGTGATGAACTTTATCTCCCCTGAGACAAGAAGTCTTCTAGGGTAAGAAAAGGAAACATTTTGACATAAAAAAAAATGATACAAAACAAACAGAACAACCCAACAGAAGAAAATGTGCAGTCTGAATGTGTGCTCTGAACACAGACCACACAAAAGGAAGAAGAGTGAGGATCTGAGGAGTATCTGATCTGTCAGCTCAACAATGTCAATGACTTTTTTGTTTAAATAGCACACCTGATTATACTTAAACTCAGTCTGATGAACACGGGAGACAAAAACATAAAAACCTATGTAGGTTTTAAGGCAGTGAAAAGAAAAGAAAAGCTCAATTACAACAAAAGCTCAATTAAACTTTACAAAGAACACACATGCACCGCTAATTAATGTAACAAAAGATTTTGAGGTCTTTTTTTAATGTCAGCACAGATGCATGTGACCTCTGGTCAGCAGGCAGCTTGTTCTAAAGAACAGGACCACAGTAACCAAAGCAACCTCAGCACAGTGAGAGGTTTGACCGGGTTATAAACAATTAGTAAGTCAAAGACACATTGGAGGGGTCAAGCAACTGAGAGGCTTATGAACTAGCACTGAAAGCCAATGAAGTGACTCACATCTATAAGAACTGATTCGTCCTACTGATGACCTGGAGACTCCTGCAAATTGAGCGTTACAATAATTCAACCTGCTTGCTTGCTAACCTAAAAGCATGGATCAATTTCTCACCAATCTTAAGTTTTAATATTTTCTGAATATGATTATCAAATCTAAGATCATTCTCCAAAATAATTTCAAGGTTCCTGACTTGAGACAGGGATGATAAATATGAGCAAATTTTCTGTCTCTGACGTTTTGGACTAATACCAAAAACAAAGACGTTTGTTTACATTTTATGTGATCTTCTAGCCTTCATCCAAGTGGCGAGAACTTATGCATAAAGATAGTTTGAGGGAGTTCTTAATTAAGGTATGGATGAATTCAGGTGAGAAAATACTGATGAATGCTGGACTTGCGTGTAAAATGAAAACAGGGTACACAAGGTTTTGTCCACTGTTTGTGAATGAGGCCCAATATGAGGAAAACTTAACTCAAACTCTTGGCTCCCAGTTGTGACGTGGAACACCTGCTTCCTCCTTGCGCTGTATTCAAAAGCCGTCTGGAAACCGACATTCTACAACATAAAGAGAATCAACTATAACACAAATCGTCTTTTCAGTCACGTTTTGATCCCACTACAGACATAAACAGGACAGAGCAGATATTTAAGGATTCAAAACGCAGTATCTTACCAGCATTTTTCCAGCAGCTTCCTTGATTTTTTCCACTTTTGCTTCTGACAGGCCCTTGATGTTACACAGAGCTTTGCGGGTAGTCATCTGGATCCCCTTAACAGTGCAGATGCCCACTGACTTCAGCTTTTTGATGTCTGCCATGTTCTGTGATCACACGGCAGGAGGGTCAGATTGATGCTCACACACTCAAATTGCTTTTTGTTAGATGAGTGATTTTGAGCTCAGCTGTTTACTCACTATCCCGTGTTTCTGCAGGAGATCAATGTCTTGGAAGAAAGACTCCTGTGAGGTTCAGAGGAAAATCTATATGAGCTAACTGATCAAGAGTAAATATAACATTAAAAAGCCTGCAGATTATAGCTTTTCATGTTTTAATCTACTCTTCTGTGTTATCTTTATACAATATTTGTAACCAAAATATAATATAGCTTAAACTTTAAGTTATTTAAACATTGTTTTTTTTTTTTATCTTAAGGCAAATCTTTATTTAACATATTTTTTTTTCTCTTTAAAGAGGGATACTATAGAAATAACACGCCCTGAATAAAATAATACTCAAATCTTACCTCATCATCCTGGAAACTAGAATCATCTTCAACAACTTGATCCTCTGCAACTTTCATTTTTAATGCAGAATGAGGTCAGAATTAAAGATGAAAGGTATTTTGATTACTCAGCTAAGATATTTAGCCAGTCTAAAATCAAGCTAACTCTTTGCTAACCATACACCGCTCTTTCAAGGCAAACAAACAAAAACAGGTTAAACTACAAAACAAGACTGTCAGATTATCGTATGATTATTAGCTATCGGACGCCAACCACAGTACGCTCATGGACGAAAAACAAATATAGTGTCTAATGTTTAAAATATAGCTTTTTTGTGTTCATGAAAAAACTGGCCTTTTGTCACCGGCGGGAATTTCTGACTCTTCAGGTGCAAGCGGAAATTTCTATTTTGACCAGTTAAATGAACGTGACCAAACAAGTTAGTATTAATGTTGCGTTTAAGTGTTCCCAATTACATCATCGGAAGTTAAGGCTTTAAACGAATATCCCCATAAAATATTTGAAGGAGTTATGTCTCTCGAAATCTTTGGAACACATTCCTATCTTAATCCTTTGGAAACGACACGTGAATGCAGCATTGTCCTAAATACTACTTTCTAAACTTCTGAATTTCTAATCATTTGTATACAATAAAAACATTTTTCTATGACAATGGAACTTTTTATCTGAAGACAAGTTACTGATTGTTAGAATCAGTATTGTTAGATGGTTCTTACAAGCTAAAATATCTCATGTAAATAATAACCAATATCAAGACTTTATGATCAAAATGTGGTGAAATAAATACAGACTATGATGATTACAAAAATAAATGAATGACGATAATTTCAATAATACCTCCTGTTGATTATTTAATACATTTGACAAACACACCACAAAATATTTGATCTTACACACAAAAACAAGGTGAAAGTAGACACAAGGCTTTCTATTTGATTTGGTGTTTTAATTGTGGCAGTCATGTTGAACACAAAACAAAATCATGGGGTTGCTCAGTAGAGATTATAAAATACTGTCATATGAATGACAACAGAGGAAAACAAAATTACATTCAATTAAGACTGAACACATCAGCGTCATTTAACCAGGAGGACACGATAAAACCAATAACTGTGGAAAGTTCAAAGCGAGAGGCATTACACTCTGACATACTATACACATATAGTACACTGGTGATCTGAGACAAAGACGGAACCACAGCACGTGGTCAATGTAGACACCCATCTTATAATTTAATAAAACTTGTCACATATGATCAGATATTCTAACTTCATTCTTCACATGCAAGGGGAACCAATAAGCATATGAAGATGACCTGAACTACCAATGAGAGTACCATTCTTCTGACTACAAACACCGAGCTATACCACCGCTAACTTCCACACTTCTCTTTTCACTGTATCCAACTTCAACTGATATCCCCTATGAAGAAATTATTTATGCGGATATAAGTATTTTAAAAAAAAAGAAAGAAAAAAGAACCCAAAAAAGAAAAATAACAGAAGCTGTGCTTCTGGAAATCAGTCTCTGCATGATCCTGGGAGTAAGGAGAGACAGCGAGAGGGAAGTGTTGGACACACATCACATCCTCCTCCACAATATCGCTGGAGTGAGCTGAACGCTGCTGACATACAGCCTCTGCCTTTTTTTCTTTAAACTTCAGGTCTTCGCTCTTCTCTCTGGTCTCTCTGTCTCTCCTTCCGAGTGACTCTGCTGCCTCTCCAACAGCAGATCTCAGGCTCCTGTAGGCCCTTCCTGCCCCCTCACATCTTGCCGGGTGCAGGAGGCATCATGCCCGGCATCCCACCGGACATTCCAGTGTTAGGACCCAACAGGATCTAAAGGGGGAAGAATCGATTATTCAGGCCACACACTGAAATTTCCCAGTAAATGCTTTTCCCCTGAACAACTACCAATTAAGTACATCATAGTTACCCCATGCATGTGCTATATCAGCTAGCGCTCAAGTGCCCCATAACACTCACCTGTCTCTGCTGTTGTAGCTGCTGCTGCTCCAGCTGTAGTCTTTCTGTCTCAAACACAACAGGCAGCACCAGGATCATGAAGGAGGTAGTGCCGACCCAGAGCGCAGAGCGGGAAAAACTGAAACAGCACACCAACCTGATTAGTATCTGCAGTTTATACTGTACCCTTTAGTTACTCTAATACTCCTTTTAGTTAGACTCTAATATGCAAAGACTGGAATAATATTAGTTCACCCCCAGACCCTGTAAGCGGTAGAAAATCCATGGACGGATATTGCCTTTTGCTATATGTAAATCTGTGGTTTGGTGTTTTTCCGTTCTTTATAATGTTGTAGCATTTACCCAATGCATACTTGAACCAACAGATTTAAGTTAAGAGTTGACTCAACTGGCACGAGCAAAGATTTTGTACCTGTTATATCCTTTACTGTGGCCTCTTGACAAACACATTCGTGCAATTACTAATGAAAAGCAACAGACGGGGAGAGACATACCTGTAGAACTTTTTAATCAATGAGACTGAGCAGTGTGCAGACACCTCTGCAGCTGTGCGCATCGTTTCAGGAAACATCTCAGTCAGGCCCCACAATCTCTCCATCAGCGTCTCATCCAGCTTATGGACGACCACAAAAAGCAAACATTTGAGCCGTGCATTAGAAAATAAAGAAGCATCTCTAATGAGTAAGAACATACAGGAAAATTAGCTAACATCTAAGTGGGAACATGAAATACATTCGTGTACAGTGAAACTGGTTTTTAGCTCGCAGCATTGTTAGACAGACCATATACCTCAGGTAGGTAGCTAGCTAGTTAGCTTTGGTGTTGCCCTATTTAGGCAGGGGAACTAACACAGCAAACAAAACAGTGCAACACACTGCTAAAGTCCCATTTTCATTCAATCTTTTTTCAAGAGCCCATGAATAATAAGGTAATTACATCTTCATCTTCGTCGTCGTCAATCTCGTCCTCTGGGGGCCGTACGGACACCGAGCTCGTAGCGGGGGACAGCTCCTCGACTCCGGCCATTTTTTCCTTCCTGTTAAATCCGCGACTAAATCAGAACAACGAGAGTCACTGCGGCCAGAATAATGTGTTTCTGAGGTTTTACCTGCTGCTAAAGGTAAAGCTCGGAAGTGTGCTGACTGTCTGAGGTCACAGTAGGAAAACGTGAGACTCGGGGTCGGATGACGACAGGAGGTCAGGGGTCAATTTGTACGTGAAGAGAAACGTAGTGCGCCCCTTGCTGTATGGACTGTCTAATGGCAAGCTCGGGAGTATTACTGCCACTTGCAGGATCAGCCGCTTAGGTTAACTCTGTGAGGTCTAAGTCAAGTCTTTGGTAATCAAGGGACAATAAAAATAATTATTCTATGTGACTCACATCAAAAAAAAAATTCCAACAATAAATATTTCTTTCATTTCTCCAAAACACAGGGTTAAGGTGTTGGCTATGGGTGGGGTTATTGATCAATGATAGCAAAGACCTCATTAGGTTATCCTTGTGTTCAGGGGTTAAAGTGAGATTTGGTAACCCTAAGGTCCAATGGAGTGACTCATTTTTAAATACAGTGTGACAAATGCACCACATATGCACATCAGACTGTGTGATCAACCTCATCCTCAGTGCGCCAGAGAGGAGGAGATGCTGCTAATGGGGATAATCCCACTTTCCACATCAAAATATTCACAATCATATTTTGAGAATTTAAAAAACACTGCATTGTTGTCTTAATGAGCAATGCTGTGATAAGCAATTCTTCTGTGTGTTCTAAACATTTGTGTCGTGGTGCTGGGTCTGTGACCCAGTGTTTTGTGTTTTTTTAGATGAAGTTATATTCTTTGATTTGTTGTTTTTCATGGTTTTTGTTTTCTTTATTGTTTTCTGCTTGTGTTATATTTATAATTCCTAGTCTTTAATTTTCTGTCACTGTGCTTTCCCTGTGTTCCATGGTTAGTTACTCATGTCTCCATGTTTCAGGTTCCCTAGTCAGTCATGTCACTGTGTCAAGTCTGTGTCTTTGTGTATGTCTCTTGTTTCCTGTTTTACTTTGACAGTCTTGTGTCCCATGCTCAGTGTTTTCAGTTTTGTTTCCTCCCTGACCCAGAAAGATTAATAAGAGTAATTTTAAAACTTAGTAGCGGCCGCCATCGTTGGAAACTGAAATTGGCTGGGCCACACTATGAATTCTGGGATATGGTGGGCCACAAAGGACACACCCGACCCATCCTTCAAATTCGAGAAAGGTCAAAATCAAAATCAATGAATCAATATTGAATTGGTGTGTAACTTTGCCAAAACAATGTCGGACTCTGTAGTTTTCTCTGGTTCCCTCCCCAATCAGACCAGGAGTGACATGTTTAACCGCATGTTCTCCTTAAATTGCTGTCTGTCTGAATGTTGTCCAAAAAACCATATGGGCTTTATATATAATTGAGAAACTTTCT